CTCCGCACGGATTGACAGCTTCTCTTCTAAAACTCTCCCGCGTGAGATTGGATCTTGAAAATTGCATTGGTAAGGAAACAATATGTGTTCAAGACAGTGCTATAGTTGCCTTTTAATTCAATATATTGCCGTGAGTTATTTCCCAGCTGAAATGCATAGCCAAATCATATCTAGTACAGTCAATACGTACAGAACAAACTAGAGCATTTTTTGTTAGGTTTTTATTCCATACAACCGTTTTACATCGTTTTGAGGACCTAATGGAATTAACCGCGGTTTATTCTTTCGAGCAATCTCGAGGCGATGGCTTCGGAAAAGACAAAAAAAAGCTATAAATGCCACTGAATGTTCAATATCATAAACATCCTACTCTACATTTTACAATGGAAAGGACCTGGTTTATTTTACTGGTTTCGGAATCACGAACTCCTCCAACAAATTTACCTCTCTCACTCTCAACGAACACTAGTGCGGATCACAGTCCAACGAAAAAAAAAACCGAAAAGGGAACGAGCTGTGAGGAGGGGATGACGGTTTTGGTTCCTTTTTAAGGAAGACATGATCATTTGGAGATGTCAGAACAACAGCCGCACATTCTCCTCAATTATTTTAAGAGTTCTTAGTGTTAATGCGGCCGGGGTTTGAACCCGTAACTTTCCGCTCCGCAGACGGGCCCTTATCAAATTTAACTAATATATTTAACCGGGTGGCGCCTGTGCTCTGAAGAAGGGCTAGCAATGGAATCGTCATATCAATTATATAGTTTTAGGGTTGCAATTTGACAAAATTCACTCGTTTGTTGAAAGTAGTGTCATGTATTTCACAATTTCCGTTAACGCTAAGCACTCCGTCCATAAGCAGTGGTCTAAATGTATTCAGCAGATACATTGTAAATTGAGATTAATACCTCAGGCACCGGTCTCTATGTACAGGCAAGTTCGTAACAGATGCCTTCAAGATCATAATAATCAGGTGATCTTTTTTTCTTCTCCTTCATCATACATTCAATATAATGAGAAGGCCAATGACATCCCTCTGGTACTTGAATAACTGCATTTCCTCTCACTTCAGCTTAGTCATCTATCGGCAAAACATACAGAAACAAAAGAACACAGTTGTCGATATTCTTTGTGGACACAAAATTTGTTCTTTGTAGGATAAACATGGCCATTAACAGATTACTAAAAAAAAGTTATGTAGGTACATGATCTAGTATGATTTCTCATTGAAAACATAAACAAAAAGCCCCTATGGTCTCCCATTTGAAAATGACGTCGCCTCGAGTAGAGCTAAAAGTTGCAGATTTTTTCGAAGAAACGGAGGGTCGAACAGCTATATTTTTGCCAGTGAAGGACTTTCTTGGGGTTGTGCGTAAGCATACAGAAAGGAAACAAAGACCGTCACATTGTGTTCGAGTACGCTCTCCTTTAGGCTCCGATTGGTGTCGTTCAGGGGATCGAAGGAGAATGAGAGATTTTTCACTCTTTCTAATTTTCTGTTAATCACCCCCGTCTCTTTCTAATGGGAGTTCTCCGAAGACGAGACCCATGACCCTGCAAAACCAAGTAGATAGAATAGCCAGCAAAGGAATACAATGTGTTAGAACCTTACCTCTGAAGGTCGAACTGACTGTAGTTAGCAAAAACACGATGATGATAACGCGAGCAAAAGTCTTCATGTTGAATATTAACATTAACTCTGAACATTAACCTGAAGACAGAACACAATTACCTTTCTTTTAATGTAGAGGAGGTGATATTGCTTAGAAAGAGCAGGTGGTATTCCCGGTGTCATGGCCTTTGCGGGGAGGCTTCGCCCGATAGAAGAACCTCTTTCTGGCTTCACGTAATATGGAAGGGTATGGAAATCAGTCATTCCGGTCTGTAAAAAGGCTCAAAAGGGCTAACATCTACATTTCTGGCTCTTAAAAGTGGAGAAAGCACTTTGTTAGGTGATTGATTTATATTTGAAAGACAACAAAGATGCAAAAGTTCTAACCCAGGTATGTAAAAGGGGTACCAAGGGTTACCTTTGCTGTAAAAAAGGTAGAATTATATTAAAAATATAGGGGATTGGACCATGGGGCGGTGCGTACCCGTAAAACTTTGTTGAGTGCCCCTCCCCGCTCCCGTACAATTGCTCAGCTGTCAGGATAAACAGAATGGCCCAGCATTTCTAAACAAATGGATTGACGTTTTATTTAGTTTATTTTACGACTTTTCCAAAAATTATGCAGAGGGAAGCTTAGAAGAAGTTACTTGAGCGTAGAGAATAAATCTAAATAAAATTGAACGCTCTTAATGGGTATTAGTTAAACGAAATACCAGTGCCTTAGAAACAAAATATCAAAATACTTACCGTTTTGGTTTTATTTCCTGAAATAATTGCTAAGTACCCCTTTTCTTAACAGATATAATTATATCACTGCCAAATGTCTAAATACTGGCCCTTTTCAATTTGTTGGGATTACGGCAATTCTCAAGAGTAACCGATGGTTGCTTAAAACGTCAAATAAGGAGGCATTATTGGAAACGAACACGATGACAAAGCCATTTTTATGTTCTTCGTGTGTTTTTGTCATAGTCACCAAAATTAAAATAGTGACATGCTTTTTACTTATCGATTTTTTGGAATTAGGGAAGTTCTCTTTTAGCTTTTGTTCCACTTCATTTGACATGTTAGCATCTAGAAACATCCTGCTTCAATAACTCAGAAAAAGAGTCATTGATTGCAATGGATGGAATTAATAACTATAGATGGAACCCGTGTTTACATAGGTAATCTTGAGCTCATGTTCAGCTTAATTAAAGTGTGGGACTGTACCAGTTTGCGATTTATCTTTTTTTTAATATCAACCCCATCCTCGGAGACCCAGGGGCAGATAGTGGGGGCGATGGGAAGTCTAAACGGGCGGAAAAATATGGCACGAAGAAAAGTAAAGAACGGCGCGAAGAGCCCCTGGGGACAATGTCTTATCAGACCAGTTCCAAACGGTCGCCGCCGTTCTGCCTTCTGATTGGGCAGAAAAACACAAAAGTTTTCTGGCACCAATCAGAAGTCAGAACAGCGGCGACCGTTTGGAACTGGTCTGGTAAGACATTGTCCCCAGGGGCTCTTCTCGCCGTTCTTTACTTTTCTTCGTGCCATATTTTTCCGCTCGTTTAGACTTTCCCTCGACCCCACTATCTGCCCCTGGGTCTCCGAGGATGTATCAACCCTTATTAATCCAATTTTTTGAGTAAGTCACTTCAAAATTTTACCTTAAAACTCAGTAATTTGTGTTTCTTAATCTGCTTTAACGGTTAAGTAGCTCTGTCATTAAAAAAATCTCTTGAGCTATCATACGAAAATCTTCCCTCTCCAACTCGTATTCAGATTAATTGGTTTCAAAAGTTCAGTTTTTAAGGTAAGATATTCTTTTTCAAATATAGCCACCCTCCTTCTCCAAAAAAAAGCCCTTTCTTTATACGATAATGTTCCTGTCGCCAACTAGAATTATGTTAAAATTCAACCTATGAGAAAAAGTTAGGAACAACAGCGCTGACAGGGTATACTAAAGAATTGAATAAAGTTCATTTTCCAGGTAACCCTAGAACTGAACAAGAGCAAATTTGCCCCACAGTTTGACCGTGCCAATCAATTTCTGCTGATGGAAATTTAGGGAATGTCTACACTTGGTGCCCGAGAACTAGTGCCTGGGTAGTGACAAAAAATGGTGATTTGTTCACACCTTGGGTATACCTAAAATGTAAGCTGCATACATCATTTACTCCTTTTTGCCCTCTGTGAGACGCCATTTTGAAACGAGAGCTTAGCAGCGAGTAGATAGGAGTAGATTACCCCAGAACAAACAAAAACGGTGTACATCCAGCAGGTGACCAAATCCCTTTTGCCAATGTATAAGGTCTTGACCTTGTCCTCGGGCACCGACTACACGAATTAATTCGGGCGTGGATACTTGATAAAAGCGTGTGTTCACATTAGTGTCCAACGAGTACCGCTCTCCGGCGTTGTACCCATGCACCAAGTGTGAACACTGCCTTAGTCTCCCCAAATGTTTTAAATCTCACCAGTCCGTCTATGTGTAACTTACTAGCTAATTAACTAAAGTTATCTTCAACAGGTTCTTGAAAGGCGACGTTTCTTTATTTATCAAACTTACACATATATGCCAAGAAAAAAAGACGAAAAAACATATATGTACAAAAGGTGTAAATATAATAAACAATTGAGGTAAAATAAATTTTTGACAACAAAGAGCCAATATAAATATCAAAAGCGAAAATCCCTATGTGGATCATTATACGTTTCTGGGAAACTGCCCACCTACCCCTCCCCTAAGCCAACGTTAACCCTATTTTATCTTTGTACAGTCTAAAACAGAGCTCTAAAATGGCAGGTAATATTTTTCTGGCCTCGGTGTTTGCAGACAGACGTTATCTACCCTTAAATCATGAACTCACCAGACGTCTCTATACATGAAATCAGTGAAAAATGTTAATAAATGCTACATGTACATGAGGGTGTGCTGAAGCAGAAACAGTTTCTGTTTTTGTCCATAGACTCGATTAACTCTAAAAATGAAAGCTTTAAGCGCAGATTCAGTATGACAAGATGCATTTTAGGACAACAGTATTTGATATCAAGAAACGCTTTTTAAACAGTCGAGGCCCAGAGGAAAACAACAAAGCCAGACTGGTTATCTGGACGATTTCGTTTGGTAAAAAAGGACAATGACTGCCCAGGTTATTCTCTACTTTTTTGCGAAGAACTAACTCTTTTTTAATACTCTTGTTCGTACAGTTCCACATTTCTCTTCTCTTCCTTACCATCAACAGTTGCTTAACTTTAATTTAAAGTGTAACCACGCAACAAAAACGCGCTATTTATTAAGTATTCCAATGTGAAAGTACGATAAACGATTGTTTGGTTAAGAGCTGTGTGGCCTCTGGAGCTTAATGCTCCTTTCGCACGGCAACCAGTTTCTCCAGAATGCCTTTTCATGGCTCTGCCTCGTCGCTGTCGCACGGTAGGACATTCCAGCCGCGAATAGCGTCACCCTGGAGGTCCATGCCTCTGTCCTTGAAAAATATATTCTTTATACAACCCCTAAAACCAGTATTAAACTTTCCATGTGTCATTTTTGCGATATTTTCACCCCCTCCTATTGGAAATAAGAGGAAAAAAACATTAAAATAATATAGGTTATAGCTCGAATTATCTCCTGTTGAAATGAAAAAAAAAATCTTCTACATTATTAAACATCCTGAACACTGATAAAGGAGCTAGACTTTTAGATAATACTAACCGACCATCCACACCCAGTCTGCTTGCTAGCTTAATAGGTAAGAGCACTGCACCGGTATCGCAGAAGTCAGGGGTCGAATACGGGCATTCAGGCTTTCTTTTTGCAACTGAGTTGTGTATTGATGATCTTGTCTGCATTTGTTTCTTCTTCCCGCAGTTCAAATATATGAAATTCAGATATTTCGGACTGCCCATTCTGATCGTAGGGATGACTGATAAGATAACGATATACAATGCACTTACCCATAAATATGTTATAACCTTGGTTAATATTCAGCCCTTTGCTTCCCTCAGCCGAGGTGCCATTTACGTGATCATGATTATCAACTTTAAGGGAACCCTCACTGAAACTCCTACGAAATTAAAACGACAGACGTCACTAATCTAGTAATTAAAATATCGGAGGGATGACATCACGCAGTCAGTGCTGCTTCATATTACATAGAAGCCGAAATCAATAATTGATTAAAATTTTTTTCATGGTTGACAGTCAGGGAGTTAATTCTCGGGCCCTTCCTTGTTCCTCAAATGTAACGCATCTAGAATACGGAGATGTAGGAACTATTATTTCAAGATTGTAGTTGAAAAAGTTTGTTACCTGTAAACCTTGATGGAGTGCCATTGGCTGTCGTTGACTGGAGACAGAGATTGTAGTACAGCGGGCCCAGAGCCGAGTTCAAATCTACGAAAGACGTAACTGATTTGTTAACAAGATTTTAAAGTATTCTCAGGGTAGGGGCCGATATATTTAGTTCCTGGTTATTTGCAGTAGAGGATCCCGGGAGGGGCCCGGGGGCCCGTTCCCTTATTTTTTTTTTATGTAGATCAGTGATCAAGGATAAATGTGTAATAAAATTTAACCGAGGATGTGCTTCACTCAGTTTCATAGTTAACTACTTTTAAGCAGTGTTTTTGCCCAAATTCTCCGCAAAATCATCAATATGAGAAAAAAAAAGCAAAGACGCAAAGCAATACACTTTTTTAGCCTCGGTTGACGTGCGTCACTCAAAAACGCTTTTGCTTAAACTCCCTATTATTTTATCGCCCCCGGATGTTAAGTGGGTTATGTGATCCATCAGTAAATTAAGGTAGCGAAGTATATCCTTTTAATACGTGTATATTGTCTATGTTTTTTAGTGCATTACATATTTCAGAGGCCATTTTAGCGACATTCAGATGCGTCAGAGTCTCATATGCGACCAGCTCCCATTAGCGACCCCTAACTTTTGGCATTTTTGGTGGTCACGTACATGTATGGGTGTTTTTACTCTGAAAGCAAAGAACACCAAAGTTTAGAAAAAGACCAGTTGTTGGACCGTCAAGAGTCCTAAAATAATTACCTGAACTCCAGAAATCCGTCTCTTAATCCGATTGCAAAGTGGTCTCTTCTCTGAAAGGAGCAAGAAGAAAAATTTTTCATAGGGACACCTAATTGATCCAGGTGAGAACATGAGGTATCTATTTATGTTGCTTAAAACCTTACAGATCAAGGGAACTGTTCGTAATGCAAGGGGCCTGTGTGTGTGAAATATATAAGAACGTGTTGGCAAAGAGATACGGAAGTGTTTTGGAAAAAGGTTTTGTTCTTACAATCTTTTAATAACTAAGAAAAAGCTCAGAACAGAATGTGACAAAGTAGATGGATGTCTTTTCTGGTCATCGGATTATCAGGCATGAGTTATAATCAATCTCTGTCGGCCGAACTCATTACAACACTCTAATTTACCTCTCCTTGCCATAGGATTACACCATTTTGAGCTTCTGTTTTTATCTCAAGTGACATATAGTCAGGTGTTGTCGATCTGTAAAAAAAAATGGACGCATGCATACTCAAAGCCGTAAACACTGTGGAATATAAGATATTTCGGCTATAAAATACCAGGATGGAAATAACTTGGGCGCTCATTTTCTATTATGACAGTCGTAAAACTCTCCTGATGCTGAGAAATGTTGTCTCAGAAGGTTCACTGAACACCAAAGAAAAAACCTCACCTCGGTCCTCGCATGGTCGATGATGGGAATTCCAAGAAACCGTCACCACTGAACAAGGCATTTTTTCCAAACTGGACAGCTACAACGAAACAGCCAATCAGCAAGAGTCACTGGAATCGACTCAACTATACATTGCCTCATGCAAGCTATTTTAAAGAACTTTGCACCGAAAAGGTTAAAATAAACCCAACAGCAGAAGTTTGTAAACTAAGGTTTCTTTAGTACTTAAAATCTATTGCCAGTGTGCATGTTTTTTTTTTGTAGGGGTTGTCGTCAAAGAATTCTACTGCAACTATGAAAACTTACACTTCTGTAGTTTAGAGAGAGTGACACCCGATAGAATTCACTGTTCTAAACGAGTGGCCTCTTAAACGTCCCCAATTAATTAGAGACAACTTTTCAGCTCGAAGTTGACTAGTGAAGAGAACCAACAACAAAGTCAATCCACTGTGTGGCGATAGAATCCCACCAAGCCTATATCAGTGGAAGGCGTTAACTCTCACCATTTGCACCACCGGTAGTTCCCCTTCCGGTTTTAAAAGGCCACTAAGACTTCCCAAGTGTGGCCTCCGGGATATAGCAAGAAACACTCTACCCATGCTGATGGCTCCAGCATGGGGAGGTCAGCTGTATCCGCACACAAAGACTATGTGCCTTAAGATCCCTTACATGGAAAAGTGTATACTGCGACAACATCAGTAATTGACAGATTTAAAAATATATCCGACGCATTAGGAAGCTATTTCATAAAGCAAAACTTCTGAAAGTACTTACTTTTATTACACCTTCTGCCTCCATATCCGAGCGGGCAGTTGCATAACCTGTAACACAGTAAATCAACTTTTAGGCTCAGAATTTCTGAAGCTCTCTAGGTTTGCGAACTACTTTTATCACGTCTTAAAATTAAGTATTGTTGTATTCTAAGTATTCAAAGACTTTCTGTCCATTACAGTAAATATAGTCAGCTCCCTTTATTTCGGACACCCTCCAACGAATTACTGTCCTTAATCGCGAGAGATCGTCATTTGAGGTCCGAGAAGAAATTTCTTTACAAAAATATCACTATTTATATTTAGATTGACTATAGTACCAACCCTAACGCAGAAAATATTGGACAGACTAGCCGAACTTATCAATAGCAGAGACACCGGAGGGAATTAATAGCTACACCTCATTAAAACAAGCTGCGGGTTGACTGTAGTGGAGTGCATTTTTCTTACGTTTGGGAAAATAAATAAATAAATAAATAAATAAGTAACCTGTCAGATGATGATAATTCAACTCCGCCATTTACACATGTGTTACTCTTCAAAGGATCGGCCAGTGTAAACTCACACTTTTGTCCAGTATATCCAGGAACACAGGAACAGAAAAAGCCCGTTTTTCCAACCGGGATGCAAGTGGCATTATTCAAACATGGTTTTAATTCACAAGGCAAAAGACATTCTGTGCATTGTTTCATACCGCGCGTGTCAAGATTGGACTTGAGCAGGTTTATTTCCCTACCATCTACTGATAGTTCGGATATACAACCAAAGAGAAAGGAGCTAACGCCAACTTTACTAGTGTGGAATGTCGTGAAGTTTTTCACTCCGCCTATGAACATGTCTAACAAAAGATTTAATCCACGTGAACAACACGGAGAGGAGCCTTTCACTGGGGGATCGTCATCCAGAACCAGCAAGCTGTCTCGCAGTTGTCTTTCTATTATTACAGTGTGCCAGAATCCTACGGAAATGTTTCTGGCGCTGCGTAAAATACCAGTACCACTTCCCATATTGAACCTGAACTCAACTCGCCCTCCGTTAATGGCAAGGGAAATGAAGTCACCGCGACCAGGGAATATCGTCTGACCATTGTACAGTAGAAGTATATTGCCTGATTTAAGTGCGCGGAATCTGATGGAGAACTTTAGTTGCAGAACTGCACCTTCGATTCCTGGTAATGACATGTATGAGTCGCTTTCGAACATGGGAGTGTCTATTGGCCTTCCTACAGAGATAAATACCGTAATCAGTTTCCTTTTTAGAACACCAAATGACATAAAAAACCAAAAACAACCACCAGAAAAGTCCAAGAGACGTTTCTTTAACTAAGTACTCTTCACTTGATTTCTATCATACACCTCACCCTGGGGCTGCTCAAGTGCTCAAGTGTTTTATAGCGACATTCTTCGGTCTGGTATTTCAAGTAGCAGCGACTATAACCAGACCTTCAGGTAATTGGGGGCGCTGCTTATTCAAACCCTTCAAATAGGGAAGGGGGCACTATCAAAAATGACCTTAAAATGAGGCGCTGGCAAGCTATCATCCCCGAGCACCCTTTTCTCTCGATCCGGCACTTTTAACATATAAATCACTGGGCAAAAAAAATGAATTTGCACCAACATGATCCTTGCAAATATATAGCAAATTTGTAAAAACCGGAGGAGTAAATACGGGGCAAAGATGGTAAATGTCATTTGCATACCAAAAAACAGGGGGGCGGGGGGGGGGGTGAAAATCCATTTTTTCGTCCAGTGAATCAAACAATAAATTACGGTCTTTCGCCCATACCAACTGATGCAAACCAGTTAAAAAGTATTTAATGCATCCTATTCAAGCAGGAAAAAAATTGGAATTATACCAAAGCTCATGTTTTGACATCAGATCGTTAAGGACTCAGGGGCCTTTGGTCAACAACAAACCTTCCTCACACCTCTCCCCAGAGTAACCAGCAGGACAGGTGCATCTAAAACCAGCATTGCCGATATTTTCACAACGCCCCTCATTGCAAACGCCAGGTGAACACTTGTTACCAGCGTCATCACAGGTCCTTCCCGAGTAACCAGGCCTGCAAGTACAAATAAATCCCAAGTCTCCAGCGACCTCTGTGCACGTGCCGCCGTTCTTGCAAGGCCTTGTTTGACAGACTTCACAATCATCCAAACCCACGCTTTTAATAGGATCACCTGAAATTTGTTTAAAGAGGTATTCAAAGGGTTATGTCACGCTATTTTCTATTTTTTAAAAAGCTATAAAGTGTCTGCGTATCAATTGAATTCCAAAAATAGTTTTCCATTTTTTTTTTCACAAATCATGTAACAAATCATCATGGTTAGTGTTCCCTGGTGGAATTTCTTTGAAATCTTCTTCATTATTTTACAGAAGCATTTTGTGTATGGGTAAAGACCCTAAGTAATGACTTTAGCACAGAGTTGACATAAAACAATAATATCCTTGTGACAAAATCCATTTAAGTATTGTGTTTTGGCAAGAGAAGGAAGAAGATAAAATCTAATTATAAAATTATGTAATTAAGCTACACCGAAAGGCTACAAAAATAGCTTCCTCGTGAAACAGGCCCTATTCTCATTCAAGTTCGTCAATACTGCCCTTGACAAGCGCATACACATTCAATAAGAGCTGGCTCCTTTAGAAGTCAAAGAAACAGAAAGAAACATGCTCATGTTCTATAGACATGACTCAATCTACTAATGTCAATTAGACCATGGTGAATCATTTCCACTTTTGGAACGCGTTTGTAAAGGTTATGAATAAGAAATTAGCGTATAGACAGTTCAAAGAGTTCAAATAAAAGGGTTAGTTTCCAGAACTTTAGTGTTGCGTCGGTAACAGAAAGAAATGGTGGTTTTGGTCCAATCAGTTGCTAAAGACAATTTACCTCCAGAACAGAAATCAAAAGCAGACTTTCAAGATGTGTTCATCAACTCAGCTGGTAAAACCGAATTGAAGAATTTGTATTGATTGTTTTCCCCTTGTCAAGAGAGCACCCTTACTCTCCCCCTCGGACACTCTGTTCGTTTCTTCGACTCCTGTACAAAATTCAAATCAGGGGCACCCAATGGATCTGTTTCCCAAAATATCTGTTCTTCAGGCCAAGTTTTCCTGGCTGGGAAATTTGGAGAAATTAATATGTCATTGGAAGGAAAGTGTTGCTGGGCAATTCACAATTCAGGGTGTCAGAGGGGATTTGTTGTATACAATAGCTTGTATATTCTATTTATCTCTCCTTCCCCCATTGAAGGGGTGAATGTCTCCCTTAGGCCACACCCAATTGCCTATGGACTCCCCCCATTGAAGGGCTGAATTTTGCCCTATGACCACACTCAAACTGGGCAGTAATGTCTAGTAATGCCTGGACATACGTCAGGTTGCAGGTTTTAGGTGCACTTTGCTGGCTGGGAACTCTTCCATCAGCCTTACTGGGAGTGAGGAACAGATAAATTTTTCCAAGAAATCTCCCAAAATGCTTAAAATGGCTTCAGAAAGCTTTATTTATGCTTTGTAGTTGTTTTTACGTCTTTTTCTCAAATTCCCCGTTGGGTGCCTCTGTCAAATCTCCTCGAAAACTAGTTTCCAGAAATTTTGAACTTTGAAAACCTTTATCCAACTACCATTGGTTTTGTCCCTACGAAAATTTCTAAAAATAATCAAAGGAGACAATACATGTACCTGTTTTCCTGTTTTTAAGGTCCCTATTTTTGATACCAACTATTTTTGTAATGGAATGTAAAAGTAACAATTGTATTCTTACCAAGATTTACAACTTTTCCGTCGATAGCCAAGTAGCTTAAAGAACCAATAAATCCTGACTTGAATCCCACCAAAGAGCTTATTGATGAGAATTCAAGGACTCCTCCCACGTGCAAATCCTGATTCAAATTCAGACCTGTGCTACTCCCGTTAGAAATTCCTGTTACAGGTGGCTCCCCATCTACGGTGAGATTCCTTCCTTCCTGTTACGTGATAAGACGACTCTGTGCCACTCATACAGGCTCAATGGTTGCCGGCTTCGAATGATTGCAGGCTCAAAGCCAAGGTTGAATCTAAATACGGATAAGTTCTCTTCAATTTTGACCTTGGTTTATATTTAATTTGGTTTGTTTCAGACTCTTTTCTTACGTTACCATACCCCAAAAAAGGAAAAAAATATCAACCAAGGATAAAACTGGATTATAACATGTGCATCACAGTTTGGTTAAGATCAAGAATGTTTTAAGCCTAAACCGACATGCACAGCCACTACAACGTGGATATAGCCCATTTCGAAAAAAAAAACATCGTAATACTCTCTAATGTGCCGGGTCAGCTTCACCAGGGAGGAGATATTCAAGTATACTTTGTTAGCCTGGGGCAACGGAGCCCAGAGTATATGTGGGAAGCTTGCGCTGAAGCGGAGTCTTTTTTCTTCAATCTGTGCTCACGGAAAATGCTACACGTTTATATTACACTTGTAAAAATTGACCATAGGATTATAAGTCCAACCAACACACAATCTGCAAGTAAACTACCCATCTTATAATGGTGTGTTCGTGCTAAGTATGTTGATACATATGACGTGATGCAGTTCTTGGAATAAGTCACTGGAACAGTCAGAATGCATGATGCACCCCCCAAACCGGAACATAAAGTGTTGTATAAAATGGAAGCTCCGCTTTAAGGCTTGGCTATATGACTGCAGCCAAGATGGAATATGATAGACTTGGTTAGTAATACGATAGTCTGGTTACCTTGCTGTTTCAGGGTTTTACAGTAACAAAGTTAATTCAGATGCTATTTTTGCATTCGTTTTCAAATGACTTCGAAAAAAGATTTGTGAGTAACCAAAGGCTTTATGGAAAAAATAGCTTGCGAGGGCGGACTCCTGCTAGAGTTAAGCCTCACAGGACTACTGGCGAAGATCAAGAAGGATTCTCTTCGTCCCTGTTTGTGAATACAACCCCATTACCTAAATTCAGCAAATCTGTCTGACATTCCAAATGAAATGAAGTCTCCAACAGAGCCATTTGTTAGCTGATCGTTGTACAGAATCAGCCCATCCGCCATCTCCGGTATGAACACAATTTCAACCGTGAAATTAAGTGGCTCGTCTGTTAATGTCTGTACATTGAGGTAGGACAGAGGTTCCTGTGTAAATCGTGGAAGAGATAAAAATGGTTGGTGACCATTACTAAGTTTACTAAGTTATGGTTAGAGTAAATATCATAACAAAGGTGTCTTCTTGTCATTGGCGCGAAGTGTGCTTAGCAGAAACTCCCCAAACTAACCCTCATCATGACCGCAAGAACATTCGTAGCTTTTCGCGCTGAAATTGCATCAGGAAAAATGTATAGGAGGAAAGCCACTGTAAAATTTTTGCACCAAAATTCGTCAAAATCAAGACATGAAACAAGGAGGGAGGTTAAAGTAAAATTACTTCCAAAGAGCCGACCCTTTGATACCTTACCTTTAATTTCTAAAATTCCACTTCTATTAGCCGATCCTTCAACATTTTTGGCTTCACAATTGTAACTCCCAGCATCCTTTTGAGTCACATTGGCAATCTTTAGAACTCCTCTTTGCACTGTACTGCTGACTGGAAGCGATCCGTTAACTTTCCGCCATGTTAGGTCTGGTGACGGGGAGCTGCTAGCGATGCAAGTGAATTGCACGGTCTCACCGGTTTTCACACGTGACTTCTGTGGAGTAACCATGACCTTGGGGGTCTCTAAGAGTCAATAGAGTACAGTCTTGCCACTCGAGTTAATAACACAATGTTTAATAGTAACATCGTCATAAAACTGCACAATCTTTGCAGATGGATATTAGTTGTAACCGTAGGGTTGGGGTGGTTTGGTGGTAGTTCCAAAAAATTCAATCGGATAAGGTCATTTTGGTTTACGGCAGTAAGATTTAAAGCAGGCTTATGTTTCCATGCCTTCCTCACTTGGTCTGACATGAGGACACTAAATCGCCAGCTTTCGCCTTTTTATCTTGTCTTATTATCGTGGCTTATCAACTCGGTTGACAAACCAGTAAACCATTCCTATTTCCCACAAATGTGAATGTCTTTGCAAATGACGGTCAAATATTTCAAGCGTTTTTTAGCTTTACTTGCATTAGCTTTTATTTCTTTTACAGACCAGTAAACGTGAAAGGTAACAGCAGAAAAGAACAAACAGACAACACCAACCTTGCACAAAGATGGCTACTTCAGATTGCACAGACCCAGCACTGTTAGTGACTTTGCACCTATATACACCACCATAGGCAAGCCGCGCGTGCGGAAAAATCAGCTGTCCTCCTTTTGAAATGAGTCCCACTGGAAGCAGACCATCGACGCTGGTCCATTGTATTTCTGGTTGTGGGGTTCCATTCGCGATGCATTCTAGAGTCAAATTCTTTCCTACGGAAACTGTTTTGACGGAGGTTCCACCTGTTATAACCACACTGGGTAGATCTGAAAAGGATATGATTACATGGCTACTCATACGAATGATTTACTGATAGTGACTAGGAGTGATCGGAGCTTAGGAGAGTGCGTTCGCTACGTTTGCTAGGCGTACAGGTAGCAGTTGAGGGGAAAGGGTGGATGGTTCCTGCGATAGATAACTATGATTATGGTAGTTTTGAACGTAAGGGTTGCGTACAGCGAAACCTCCATTTAAACTGTGTATCATAATGAAAAGGTTTTGAAGGCTAGTGATCAGCGTGCTATCGTATGGTTCGTCTCCTGTGCTTGTTATTTGAGGAGACACTGGCCAGAGTGCTTCGGGCGTGTAAAAAAAACTTTTTGTTTTACTGGAGCAATAGATATTTTACTGGGCGCAGTTGTTTGAAGGCCGATCAGCGCTTAACCCGGGTTTCTTTTTCCTTTGTTAAAAACATTTCTTTGGATAATTTTCTCAGTTATTTTTAAGAGCGTCTAATCATTGACTTGTTGGCAAAATGAAGCCGGGTCGCGAAAATGTCTTTTGTTCCAAGTTGAAAATGTTCACTGGAAGTGTATGTGTGCTGCTCACTAATGATCATTAAAATTAATAAAAATAAAAATAAAATTAATTTACGCAACCACGAGTTCTTGAGAAAAAAACAAAATGGCGGGTGAAAGGTAAGTGACGACGACTGATTTTATTTTCCTTTCTATGATCCGAGTTGAGACACTCGTGAAAGACACTAACGAGTGAGAGCGGCACCCCCTTATCCCAAGATCTGGATGACCGCCCCCCCCCCAATCTGAAGGTCTGGATCCGCCACTGCGCTGCTTCTTACAATAACAGCTGTTTAATATTTGTTGTTCTTGCTTGCACCAGTTGTTTTTAGATTGGTTCACCCTGTGAGTAGAGCCCCTTTTTGCCTTATTGAGTGAGGAGGAGAAAAAAGGCTCTGCCTGAATCGCGTAAAGCCTTTGAAGTCGCCGAAACCTAAATTTCTGGACGAGTAAATGTTGATTTTTTGTCAAACCGGTTTTTGAGTGCGAACATCCGTCTATCGGGTGGTCGTGACTGAGCCCGCTGTACCTAGCACACAGACATTAAGCCTGGGTTTGAAGCTGTATCCTAGCATCAAGCTGCTCAACAAAGATTTTGCTCTATTCATGCGGCATGGTTCGTACTCTTTTGAGCTCCTCAAATTTCAGGACTCTCCATGACTTTTTCTATGACCTTATCTTTAGCTGTCACTTATTTTTAAAGCTTTTGTGTTTTAGGGTATTTCCGACCTTAAACAGTTCAACAGACACAAACTCTGGTGTCCAGCTAAATGAGTGCCGTTTGCGCTGTTCAGTCACTTCGCTCTATCTTACATTGTCCTTGATTTGTCATCGGCAGTAACGAATCTACCAAACAAAATTTCAATTTTCAAGGACTTTCAAAGGCCGACAATTAAATTCCATGACTTTCCAGGCCTGGGAAATGCAATTCTTAGATTCCACGACTCCGTTCCTGGTTTTCCAATGACCTGTACAAACCCTGATGTAGTCTCACTCAAGTTCGGCAAAATCGAGCAAGTGAAAGAAAGGCTCTTCTAGCAAGGTGAGACTAGTTAGGCCCTACTAACTAAAAAAATACAAACGCTATCTGTTTTTTCAGCTTACCTTAGATTTCTTAACGCTCTATCCTGATAGATCTGGTTGGAACAGTATTTGACGTAAACCTCAAAACACTGGGTAGCCTGTTATGGGATACAAATTAATGACGAGAGACAGTTGGCTAAGAACAGCACATGAGTTTTTACAACTGATTTTGAGTGATGAGAGCTAAAAGCTGGGCATCCTTTGTTGCGTTAAAGCAGGTATAATGTGTAAGAAAGACAGATCTGATTGCAGAGCTGAGGAAAGTAAATACAGCAAAAACCCGCGACTAGGAACCTGCATTTAGCCTAAACAGGTTCTTACATAAATGGTAATAAGCACAAATTTAGGCTATTTAGGTTCTTATTTTCTGAAGAAAAATATACATTGTAGCTAAGAATATTTGGTGGAATTCAGTTCATTCTTTACGTATTACAAAAATTTATATGCCATTACAATTGGAGTTGGAGTTGGAGTAATTAAGGCACCTATGTCTCCAAAGAGGATCCTCAATGTTGACTTTTCCTATTTGCCCAAGTGTAGAGAATTTTTTTATAGACATTTTTAGAACTGAAATAAGAACCTGTTTCAAATTTTAGGCTAAACAGGTTCTTAAAACAAGGTTCTTAGTCGCGGATTTTAACTGTATTTTAGTCTAACAAAAACGATATAAAAAGCGTTAACTTACGTGTTGTTCAATAATGTCACTGATAGATGACATAAGCACAGCTTCCGTCTGGCGTGCACGCAAGGCCTGGAGAAAGCTACAAGATAACAAACAAGTGATCAGCAACAAACATTCTAACCATAAAGTGAAACATTCGTTTAGGTAAATACCTTGGCTTTGATTCATAGAAAAAAACAAGCCCATTTTAAAATGACAACGCCGACAAACAAACAATAAAAAAAAACAAACAAAAATAAACAAACAACGAAACGAAAATAAACTGATTAAGAAAATGGCAGCAATTCTTCATATAATCACCTTGGTGATCAAATTGGCCGATGAAGCTCGCAAAAATTAATTTCATATTCACTTCCTCCAGAGTCGGAAAACGGTAACACTGCACCAAAGTGTGACACAGAACCTATCCAGTATGTGACGCTTCACTTATAAGTTCGCCGTTAGCCTTAAAGAAATCGCGCCGAAATCATTGTTCTTGTATGTCAACGGAAGTCCTATCCGGTATGGTTTTCGTGTAGACGCAAGAACTATCCGGAAGTCTCGAGAGTGATCACCAATGAGAAAATTGCTTTGATCGTTTATCAAATTCTCTCGATTGAATCTTTAAGAAATGTACCGAGATCACTGTGGAGAATTAGTATGTCGATATTAGGGCTTAAAGAGTTAAACATAGCCTAAGAATCATCAACCTCTACATACTTAATAAAACTGTTATTACAGAGAGACCGCATTAACTTACTTCTCACTGACAGACTTGATGGAGTTGATATTAGAAAACAGCACATGTGAGTGGCCTCGTTCTAAAACACACAGCGAGGAGCCTGCGTTCAACTCTTCTGATTTGATGAACTGTGACATCAGAATATTTAGACTTCTCAGATAACTTGCCTCTGACGTAATCACCTCAAACATCGCCTGCAATCAACACAATTAAAGCGTTCGCCTTAATACTATGTGACCTTACAGTTCAAATGACAGCTCTCACTTCCACGATTCAGTATCAACGCGTATATCTCAAGACATAGTGACCCTATGTCCTATAGTGACCCTATGTCATTGCTTAAATAGGCCATTAACAAGTCGCCCCAAACCTCTGTTTCAAAACGAGGCTTTTTATTCACATACAAATGAAACTCCTTTTCACAATTAGCCTCGTTTTGAAAGAGAGGGTGTTTTGAATTCCGAAATGACCTATTATACTGGAGTGATTAGCTTATCATTTCTTTTGGTTGATATTTGTTGTCATTGAAAATAGAAGCCAGAATGTTACGAAGTTAACCATGTGTTGCATGTCATTGAAAGGCGCAGTAAACCAAATTTCATATTTTAAGTGCTCTGATCGGGAGTGCCACCATTCGTCTCGTGGGTATACGTACTACACATGCGTGGCTAAGTAAACTTATAGCTGCTGGAACACTAGCTGCATCCCACAATTGTTAGCCCTCAGGTCCAGTTGAGTGTTTTTGCGTTCGAGGTACGAGATAGCAACCCCTAATTTGTGTTGGGCGTTCTGTGCATTATTGGGTGGCCTGTGCAATTAATAAGGAAGGTTTTTTTGATATTGAATTTTTGTTCGTCGTCGTCGACACACATTTATCGATGGACCAGCAGAAAATGTCAACTCTTGTTTCACTTGACCTTTCAAAGGTATTTGACAGTCTAAACCACACAAATTAATGAGCAGTGCAAGGGTTTATTGTAGTACTTTGAAGTACCTGCATAAGAGGGACAATAAAACGAATATATATCTTGCTCATGGCAAGATCTGGGTTTATTTCTCCTTTGTAGCTGTTACTTCAGCAACCAAAACAAAATCTCAGCATAATCATTCCAATTAACCTGTTCTCTTCCTCTACATATAGGGTGTTATTTTTATTTTTACGTCTTCTCAAAATATTATAGTGTACTACTACGATTTTGCCTGAAGCTCATGCTAATTGAAAAAAAAAACAATAGAAAAAAGAAAATTACCCACAAAATTACATTGGTGCGTAACATTGTTATGCAGTCATGGTCAAGTAAAACCCTTAGGAACGTTCGTCTTTCCAGTCTGATTTGCTAGCTGGTATTATTTTTTTCCATTTAGTTCATCATCAAAGTTTATATGGGCTGTAGTGCCATAATTATATAATGCACATTCTTCTGTTCCATGATCCTGCACTACTGATTCTTGTTGTTAATAAGATCTTTACTTCGTTTAGTCAAGTATTTTTTCCTGTACTTATTGTACTTGTACAGTGTGGCAAATTTGAAAAAAACTGCCAAAGACTTTAAGTCTGATGTTTACAGAACCAGACATATGCAAAACCTATGCTCATGCTATTTATTTCCTGTGTTGGACTATGTTTCAGCTATGTTATGTTCACTAATGCCTATGTATCAACTATGTAACATACCACAAAACATAGTCCAAAGTATGCAAAATCTATGTTGAAACTATGTTTAGGCTATTTGAAAAGTACATAGCTTTATAATACCTATGCAAATACTATTCAAAGTCTTTTCATCGTCTTTACATAGCTATGTATTTACTATGCAATAGAAAGTTCTGCTTATCCTTCAGATTTGCATCCTATGTATTCACTACGCATTAAAGCAAAATAGCTTTTACATAGCATCTCGATCTTCACTTTTATTTCCAACAAGTTTCTTAGCTTTTACATAGTGCTATGTATATTCTATGCTATGTGATGAAACATATTTGCGGCCTATGTTTTCACTATGTGAGCTTTATCATGAGATAAAGGTTACATAGCTTTTACATGAACGTATTTTTTCTTGTGTCACTCATATGAGAAATAATGTGGTCTATGCGTTTCCACTAGGCATGTTGATCGTACAAGTTAAATAGCGCTCACAAAAAGCATACTTCCAAAGTATAAAGCAGTGTTTTACACTAAAAAACTTAAAAATCATATGTTACCATTTTTCTTGTGCTTGAAGATAGTTTCTTAGTGAGAAGATTTATGTTTTAAAAGCATTGAATCGCTACATCCATCATTCCTGCCTTAACTTTCCTTTCTAGCTTTTCCCTAGAGTTTCTTCACTTGAAATGATACCTCCATCCATCATTTTCTTCTTTTATGTTAGCTTCGGTCCTTCGTCTTGATTGTGGACGTCTCCTGAATATAAATAGATGGGCAAATTTACTAGCCACTAGCGGCACCGCGTCACCCAAGCCAAAAATGAACTGGAAACTATTAAAGACACTTGAAAGGGGTTGGTACCTAGTCTGCGCTTTTCGCGGGAAATTTGCGAATAAAATTATCCGGTTCAATACACCATTGCTGTCGAATAATATTTTTGCTTTGTAAATGTACATACGGAAATGAATCCTTCTGTTAACGAAATACGCCGAAAGCAAAATCCTGACACCTTTAAACGGGAGGTTGCCTGGTTCGCGAAAGGATTTCGTCAGCCCAAAACAAAGCTTGAAATATCGGCATCAACAATCGATGCATTTCAGACCATGATCTGGGATAAACCCGGAGATGACATTTTACCAACGTTCGGTAAGTGCTCTCTTTTGCCATTATTAAGGGTCCCGAATTAGGATATGTACGTCTAGCTTACGCCTGAATTACCTCTATCTGTTTGGAATATTCCCGATTAAAATTAAATTCCATTTGGGTAATATAAACAAATAATAGATAATCAGTGTCTATCTTTCAGGAGTAGGAACTGGTTTCGAAAAGTCTAATCCTTTCTTCTAGTATGGGAAAGTAGTATCTTCACAGTCTCAACATATTTTCCCTGAAGAGATGGGGTGGGAGAATTACATTTATGACTTTACAAAATAAATGACGTGACCTTAACCCAAGAGGATATTATATTTCAAAGGCAAAGTTACATCCAGTGGGTAACAACGCAATTAAAAAAACTCTTTGATCAGATCTATTAATTTAAAAAAAAATTTTGGTCTTACATATTTGTATTGAACAAAAAAAAAAATCGAACTAGCAAATGATTTCCACAATCCCTATAATCTTGACTTCAAAACAAAAAACCTTTTCTCGGAAAGCAGATACTCTTGGAACATCCCTCTCGCTTCACATGTACATTCTTTCGTTCTACTATACATTTTCAGTTTTAAAGTTAAAAAACCCAGTGGTAACAAATTTTTGATACGAAGTTCTCGGTAAATATTTGTTCCATATGGCTTTTCACAGGTTATATCTTTTTTCGGGTCAGCGTATTCAGGAGAGCTTATTGTAAAGCTTGTAGGAACATTTCGAGGTACTAAATAACAGCGAAGAAACGCTTGCCATACGGGCGTTGTCTTTTTCACTCTTAGGTTTGACTCCTGATGAGCTCTCACGCCTTGCTGTGTCTGGGACGCGAGGGTGGCTGGCGACTGACCATGTTACATGGGTGTTAAGTGAATTAAACACGATGCAGCAAGATACGCTGCTGTTGTGTCCGAACGCGGTAGTCAACATCACAAACGAGATGGCCAGAAAGAGGAAATTTTCAATTCTGGCATGCTGAAACGGCTTGTTTTGCCGCTTAATGTTGGTAAAGAAAATGGTCAGACCTTCATCGGTACCAAGAATAAGTCACTGGGTTCTTGTGGTTGTTGAGAGTCGACCATTCAAACAAATCCTTTATTGTGACACATTAGCCTGGAAACCCCCATCAGATATTATCGATGTGGTCAACAGTTATATCAGCCACATTCCCCGTATTGGAAAGTTTGATGATACACACCTCTTCTTGGCTCACCACCCCATGGCTACGTCTCGGTTTGGCCATATGTGTGACTGGAGATGCCGCAACTATCCACTACAGACATGCTCTGACGTATATGGAGTCATTGTTCTAATAATCGCAGCACTGGCGGCTGTAGACCGACCCCTATTTCCGTTCTTCATTGGTCCCAGCGAGAAAAGTCAAGTCTATCTACAACGCCCAAGCCAACATGCCTATTTTCTAAGGAGAATCATAATGCATTGGTTTGCCGAAAGTCGCATTGAAATCAATTATGTGCTTCTGCATCATGATTCGCGCGATAACGTCCGTACAGAGTCTGACCACTCCTCTTGCCTACGTCGGTTCACATCCAGTAGCACAAAGAAAAAGCTCAAGCTATCCCTAAATCCTAAAGCATCGTCCTCCAATGGATCAATTCCGAGAGCAACAGAGGAACATGCATCAGAAGACTTTCCAGTTAATACTGCTCAGGTCTCCAGTGGTTCCTCTTCAATTCCCAACTCTCCAATGTCTTCGGAAGAAACATTCTCGCCACCACCAAAGACACCTTCCTCGCCTAACGATTCATGTGCGGTTCCCTCGTGTAAAAAAGGGTCCCAGTCATCATCTGGGAAACCTCGAAAGGTCCGAAGGTCCTCAGCTGACCTCTTATCGAGTGCAAAAAAGCCTCAGCCTTTTACGCGCCCAGATCCAACTAGTCCTGCACAGAGCAATAATCCACAAGCTAACCCTTCTGAGAAGAGCGTCTCTAATTCCCAGCCATCTCCCAGTACCGGGCCTCCGGCTCCGGCTCCAGCATCAACGCAACCAACTTCTCAAGGGACAATTGCGTATGATTCCTCTAACACTGATTCAGCTGATTCAGTACCTCCTCCCAACTGTGATCAATGGTCGTAAAATCAGCTTGCTACCAAATGACGAGCATTTTGAAATAATCAGCACACACAACACTCTAACAAGAAGACAGCAACACCACAAACGGCTCTTAGAACAGTTCGCCAAACAGTGGAGACTCGAGTACTTGTTGAGTTTACGAGAGAGGCCGACAACAAAGTCTGCAAATGGTAATCCCGCTACCGTTCGTGTCGGTAACATTGTCATACTCAAAAATGAATCCACTTCCAGAGCCTTTTGGAAACTAGCAAAGGTGGAAGAACTCCTACCAGGCAATGATGGAAAGATTAGAGCGGCTATTGTCAGGGTACCACGCATCAACGGAAAGAGCCAGCTTCTAAAAAGAGTGGTCCAACACTTAATTCCTATCGAGGTACAAGCAGAATCGACAGACAACCAATTACCGGGTGATTCAAGTGTCCCACTGCAAGGATCACAACCAGTAGTTAACAGTAATCCACCTACAGGGCGACCACGCCGGAATGCAGCAGTACGTGGAGAAATCCTTCGAAGAGAACTTTTGAGACTTTAACTTTGAGATTATTTGACCACTGAAGTGTGTCAAAAGTGGGGAGTGTGAGAATCATTTGGTTGACATTTTTATTGTGAACATTTTGTTATTCCATATATGGCGTGATAAACATATGTCACGTGACTAGTTTTTACATGTGCTTATTCAGCATGTCTTCGAGTTAGGTTTTGGTTCATTGTAAGCGAGAATACGAGAGCTAAATTGTGACAATTCGTACCAGTTTCGAGGATCAAAGCGTTGAAATTAAAACAAGCGAGTTTCCGTTTCTTACAAAACGAATTGGAGGACATGGAAGTCCAAGTGTGTGCACTTTGTTTCAAGGAAAACCCACCTGGTGAAGACAAGGACACATTTGAGTGGATAGAGTGTGAAAAGTGTCAATGCTGGGTGCATGAGGTCTGTGATTACATTGATGACAAGACAAACTACATTTGTTGTATGTGCCACTCTTGAACATTTCCGAAGAAATAATTTTGTCTGAGTATTGTATAAATACTTCATTTCAGACCTCATTCAGAATCTCTAACCAGGACTCCTACTTTAATATGTATGATCCGAAACAGAAGTCCATCTTCAGTGCCGGATCTAGACCTTGAGATAAAGGGGGGGAGGCCAGACACACAGACACTTAGACAAGAGGGGAGCATAACGGGGGAAGCCTGGTGCCCCCCAAATTTTTTTGGGCCCTTCAGGTCTCAGTTTGGTCTAAAAATAAGGGGGGCCCATCCCGGGCCCCTCCCCTGGATCTGCCACTGATCTTAAATGCGCAGAACAGGAACTTAACAGAGCATTTATAGTTAACATTGGTCAAATGTCTCATGGCATTTTAGCGAGTTCATATCGACATTTGATCAGATAGACATATTTTCAAGCAAACATTCCAGAACTTTTTTCTTGCCCTTTATTGACTTTGTCACTGATCACAGAACTTGATCTACAAAGCAAGGGGAGATGGAGTGAAAAGAACTGGGCAGTATAAATTACTAATGAATGCAATGATTAACTACTGAGTTCCCGTTGTAATATTATTGTTATAAAACGATCTATGTTACATGACGACTTCAAGATGATTTCAGTCTGAGGTTATCTGACTGTTGAGGTGTCGTTGTTGGAAAATGAGTATAATTAAGCTCAACAAGAACAAGAAAAAATGCGTTATTGCTGAGATAAAATGAATACCTTTGATTAATTCTTTAATTATGTGCTTTACTTTGTTATAAAATCATAACTGTCTCGCCAACTATTACCTTTCTTGCAAACCCTTCGGTGCAAATACGTTCCATTATACACAGGAAAACAACAAGATTACGCTCGAAACAAACCGGCCCTACATTATCACCTTATATGACGAGTGTTTTTTAACCGTGGGAGACGCATGCATCGATTAGAAAATGCCGACATTTCAAGCTTTGTTTGACGTTGCTGAAATCCTTTCGCAAACCCGACGACCAAGCATTTTTCGTCGGAATATTTACTTCGGAGAAGTATAAACACTAATCATAAGCAGGCGTTAAAAGTACTTGGTACCAACCCCTTTCGAGTGTTTTGATTAGTTTCCAGTTCATTTTCGGCTTGGGTGACGCGCTGTCGCTAATGGCTAGTGGCAAATAGCTGCAGTCCTCGGTGTTTGTCAGCCATTTTGTTTCCACTAGTTCCCAGGGATGCCCGTGAGTTCAACACATGCGTATTTTGCGTTTTATCGTCACGTGGGCCTTTTCAACCAATGAAAAGGTGTGAAAATTGCCTGTTTCCACGCGGGCGCTTTCATGTCAAAGAAGACGTACTGTAAAGCGTGCGTTTTGCAAGAAGACGCTTCCTTTTACTTCAATTTAAAGTCTTTTTCCTGTCAGGTTCAACAAGAAGTATGCCTGTGTTGCCTCCCCCTTTCGCATATCTGAACAAGTTGGATCGGTCAACTTCGATCACGCTTTGACACTGGTTCGTTTTAATTCTAAAACGTCAGGTTGTTTTTGTGTTCATTTGCCTTAAAATCTCCACTTTCTGTTTGCAGATACTTATTCGTTGCTGTCATAAGCAAACTGTATGGCACTGAAGAGCACGACATCAGCCAGAAGTCTACACGATAAGCAATAAATCAAATTTTAACTTGGAGTTTCGATTCGGAAGCTGCTCCATAAAAATACTGCATTTGTGTTGTATTAGCTAGTGTTCGTGGTATTATATTGCTATAGTTTTTCAATTTTTCGTTTCAAAACCTATTTCTTACCAATGTAAAAGGTATTCTTACTCATATGTTTATACTATTTCTACTATTCTGGTGATTTTTATGAGCGTGTTTTAAACACCACATTTGCTTAAGCAGATCGAAACCTACATACATTAAAGAGTATGTCAATCCTATGTAATTTCTGTTTGAAGTCTAATTAAAGGCTGTGTATGTGATATGTTTTACGTACTCAAATACTATTAAAATCCTATGTCAAACCTATGCAAAGACTATTTGTTCTGTGTTTTCCCTATTTTAATGCTATGCAAAGTATATGTCACCTTTAAAAAAGGCTATGCTTATGATATGTTTTTACTATTTCTAGGTTATCTAAATTGTAAGCAAACCCTATTCAAAAGCTATTTAATCAACTGCTCCCTGTTCCATTTTACTATGTAAACTCTATTTCAGTCCTGTGTGAAGGCTATTTATTTTCTATGATTTTTGTTTAAGGTTGACTATGAAGTCTAAAATCTCTTTCCAAAAGCTAAGTAAATTATATGTATAGGCTATGTGGAAACTATGTCATTTCTTCATTTTTTCCTACCTTTAAAAACTGCATAGCTTTTAAGTAGGTTGCGTTTGACTAGTGAAAACATAGCATTTTCGATACAAAAAAAATAGTCCTGGCATAGAAACAACATAGGACCTGGTTAAAGCAATGTATGACTGATTGACATAGGTTTTACATAGCTTTGTGACATAGCATCTGCATAGACTCTACATAGTGTCTGATTCTACAAGGGAATATTTTCGATCGATAAATTTAGTAGTTTGACAACAGCTAAGGAGCAGGAGCTACAATGTCCTCTGTTCCTGGCTTACAAAATTGTCCTATCTCACAGTAGAGCTAAAGTGTTTGTTCTTGAGACAGTCCGCTTGAATTTATAACTGGAGGAGTAGCTGTAGAGGGTGGAAGGACGGCTTGAGGTTTCAACAACATGAAAGAATGTTCAGGGCTGTTCACAAATTCTTTATAATAGAAACATTCCAGGGTTTTCCTAAGAAAACTGGAAATGATGACACTTCTTAATGTTCGGGAACTTTCTAAAATACTGGCCAAGGAATGACGCCCAGTCACGTACGGGAACAATGATTCGACCATCATGGGTTCCAACCAGCTGTACTATGTTTAAGCCACTGTTACTAGAGGTCTCAACCAATCTAGCAAATTCATACAATGAAGAGACATGAGTCACCTTATATACTTTCTTAATCAAGCCAAAGGATCGATCAGGACAAAACTTTGTGTGTCCTGCTATTAGAAAAGAGTATGTAATTGAGCGGTGAAGTTTCAGCAAAATTCTGTGTGTCAGGTACCAAAGGAAAAAACTGTTTTTGTTTTGGCCGGTGCAATTGTCCGCATAAAGATGCCCATGATGTTCTCCCAGTCCATGGTTATTCAATCATTGCTTGGTACATGTATCTGTTGTGCAAAGTCAAGTGAGTAATGTATTGATATATTTAAAGAACAGGCCCCTCGGGTTTCACAGATCAGCAGAGTATTAGCGTCAATTGTTTGAAGAAATCTCTCGCATTTCTTACCAGGGTTCCTGTGAACCATGAAATGTGGTCAAGTGACAGCCAGGGAATACAAATCTATTCAATTAAGAGACCCGAAGACATGGATTTGCAATAGCTGTTTATTAAACCAACCTCTGTCGGCCTGTGGATTCGACGAATCTGACCTGCTTACAGCTTTACCTTTCAGTTCATTGTCAGACGACTCGTTTTCTTCAGTGATCGGGACTCATACCCCGCCGCTTTCTGACGTACTTCCCAAAGATGACGAAT